AGCGAGCGAGCGAGCGAGCGAGCGAGAGAGAGAGAGAGAGAGAGAGAGAGAGAGAGAGAGAGAGAGAGAGAGAGAGAGAGAGAGAGAGAGAGAGAGAGAGAGAGAGAGAGAGAGATTTGTGTCTTTGTTTTAAAGGTGGTTACAATACATGTCCTATTGCATCATAATATAGTGAGGGAGCCAAACCACCTTTACGACATACCGTTCCTCGAGTGTTGTTTTGCCTCACTTTGAGCAACTTATATAATTGTATGCCCTATGATACTTATTTGATTTGCGTATATCTGTTTTATGATACATGGATGTTGGACACATGCATGCATAGCAGGTGGAGATGACTCCTGAACAATGCACACGTGCATGGAAGATGGTCCTCAAGTATGCCAAGGAAGGCGTTGACTACAAATCAGAAGAGGAGTTGAACATGTTGCGAGAGAGTATACCACCATATTTTGATGTGAGCATCGACTTTGAGAAGACAATGAGTTGCAACCGAGCTGGTATACCTTATTGGGATGCTTTCTTGTCAAAACTGAAAAATTTCCCATCTACCACAGAGTTTGAACGGCTGGCAAGGTGACTTTATCTCCAAGACTAAATTGACAAGTCAAAGTCACGCACATGCGGAACGTATGACTTGCGTTCTTGGAAAGGAGCCTTGAAAAGAAAAGCGGTGACTAGTAAATGTTTTGTGCTCGATAGTGAGGACGTGTTGAGAACCGAAGCTGAGGGGTTGTTGGTTCTTTGTCATTTTAAAAGAGAGGATGAGAAAGACGATGTGAAGTCTATGTGTGACTTATCATGTGTCGCAGCAAACGGAAGCGAGTACATCATGTTGTCTCAATGGATTGATTTGTGTCCGTCTATCAATCGCGGCAACACCACTTTCAACTTTCTAGCGGGTATCATCGAGATATTGGAAGAAGTCGGAGATGTACTGGAAATAAATGCAATAGAGTATGAAAATCCTTAGTCAATAGCGGACTAGTTTTTTGTCAAATCTTTGAACGTTCTTGCAGGGTCGGAGCCAAGCGCTGTGACTGGGCTTGTAAACGAATGTTGGGAATTGATGTGTGCGGAAATGAATGTCAGGGATGACACTTCGTCGTTCTCAGCGATCGATGTTGCATGTGGGCAAATAGTAGAGGAGAGGGGAAGAGAAACGCCTTTAGCATATTTGAGTTTCGCGCTTGAGTATAAAAATAAAGGACCGAGGACAATGAGATTTGGGAAAAACGATAATGAGGGAAAAAAGTGCAGCAACGAAATGGAGGATAATGATGAGGACGATAGATTAGAAAAATTATGGAAGGAGTACGCAGACGAGTCTTCTCTTCCCGAGAGAGGATGGTGTCTTGCGATTTTGCGTTTGTCATATCAACAACAAAAGTCAACCTGCGCGCACAACTCCAGCAACTCGGGAAATGAGAAAGATTGAAGAAACCATCGTTTCAACATCTACATCGAACATCGGAAAAGTGACACTCAATGTTGTGTC